CACTGGAATTTATCCGACGCTTCTATTTACGTATCCTTTTATTTGTTTCGTTCCTATTAGTCCCGATAGAGAATTTTTATGTTTGCATGCTCCCGGCGCCTGCCCTCGTAAAGCGGCGACTTGTGAACGCTTTAGAGCGACGATAACACAATTTTCGAGCGAGCGATCTTTGTTTATCGGATTATAGGGCAATAACTTAACGTCTGAGACTAGTAAATATTTTCGTTTGCAGCTCGATGGCTTAGCGTGACTAATTACGACCGTTTGTTGTAGCGAATTCAGGTGTGTTGACAAACGTAATCCGCTCAGGAACCTCATGTACTGACATAGCTAATATAAGGCTCACCTTCAAGAGAGCGGTGCTGAAAGGAAAAATCCTTTTCGATAATAAATAAATTAGTAGTAGTAAGGCAAGAAAGAATATGATAATTTCTTCTCACTCTAAATGTATGTTCAATGTGCTCCGAATTAACCTGTATCACATTTAACCAGGTAAAACGTTTCCGTATATTAACTACACAAATACAATTCTATGTTGTAATATAGAAAATTTATGTAAAATCATCATCACTATAATATGGGAACGTAGCATGTCGTTGAAGGGAGAGGATCAGCGGCAATCCGCCGGGCAAACATTTAAATTAATGTAATAAAGAGGCGTGAAATGCTCGGCTTTCGCGGATCGAGGGATTAGCGTAGCAGCAATGTTACGATCGTAGCTGTGTAGCTGTGTAGCAGTGTAACAGTGGCGTAGTGAAAAGCTCGTAGCACCGTGAGATGAAGGTTACGGATACGAATTAAAATATATAGAATATTCAAGCAATTAAAGAACTTACGTTTGTGCAAATCATAGAATTACCTAAATTACTTTAAGAATTTTAAAAAAATTATGTTCGGTACCAACGGAGGCTAATATCAAACGTCATTTGCGATGTACAGTAACTTCTTCTGTAAATAACCTCTTTTCCACGTTTTTTGGAAACCTTTAATGAGATCCCTTAGATTTCCTATTTGGCATATGACCATCAGATTTATCCTTACCTATGATAATTGAAATAAGGGTTAAAAAACATGAATTTATATGAAAATGTATAATTACCTTTTCATACTTAATAACTTCGTTTTGGTGCTTTTTGATATTTTTTATGTACTTCAGTTGGAGGAGAATATATAATTGGTATTTAAGGTTTGAAAGAGACTGCAACCAATAGGTATTTTCACTGTCTAAAATCAAATATTTGTATTGTAAATATCATTAGAAACACCAATGGTCAATAAGTGATCGGATAGGAATCGGCAAATTACACGGAGCCAGCATAAATCGAGCCCGTGTCGACGGCTTAATGCGTACTAAGCCAACCGCCTGATAATGGGGTTAACATGTCCACAAGGATTAAAACTCAGCCTCCCTTTTGTTAATCGTTCACTTACACCTTTTAGCGAGAAACAAAACCTACAGTCTACTTAAATTTACTCATACCCACGTAGTTCCTTCTTTTTAATAGCTCTTTTTAGATTTAATTGCAAGTAGATTTTTTACAACTGCCAGTCTTAGTTATATTAAAGTACAAAAAAAAGTTTATAACATCACAGAAACCAAAATGTATTTTAAATATTTTAGTTTTTCAATAATTATTATTGTATGTAGAGATTGTATTTAAGTTCTCTTATCTCTTTGAATTGTTTATAATAATAGTGTTTTTAGAATTACCATTTAAACTTAACCTTTTGTAAATTAAATCCATTTGTGACAATAAAGTGAGATTTATAATAAAAACTATAATAAATACAGAACAGAAGCCAAGCATATATTTTATTAAAAGTATATTTATAACTAGTGGACCCCACAGAGGTTGTCCTGCATGATATTTAAAGCGATTAGGATATTAAGCAAAGTATGAAAGTACCGACTGCAGTGCTATCTGCCGGGCTGATTTGTGAATCTAAACCATTCCCAGATCCCCTTGAACACACACAAAAAATTTCATCAAAATCGGTCCAGTCGTTTGAGAGAAGTTCAGTGACATACACACTCACAGAAGAATTATATATATATTTATAATAAAACAATTATATATTAGGATGGTTAGAAAAAACCCGCGCTATAGATACCTTTAAAATAAATTAGTGTAATAACAACTTAACCGTAGGCTTATAGTTTCAGAGATTCAGTAAAATGGGTGTTAGCTTAAATGGCAGGTAGCAGATGTCACACGATGCGTGTCGAGAAGAGTTCCATTATTGTACAAGTTTGAGACAACGTGACGCGCATTCGTTATTGTATTGCAAAAAAAATCTTGCTTCTTAAAGAAAAATAAGCGAGTACATGCGCTAAATTATCAATTGAATACACATGTATTAACAATAATTACACACTAATAATATTTCGTTCAAGAAAACACATACATCACGCAAGTCTCATATGTTCGAAGGGTCATATGAAACATTCCAATCACGTTGGCTCGCTTGTTTTACAAACCGATACGACGTGGGCTCCTGTACGTTTGAAATATTGTTATTCAATTATAATATTTATTACAATGAGTGGAAGGTTCAAATTATTTGTTTGAAATATCGTCCACTAGACATGACAATGCAATCAGCGGTGACCGAGCGGGATTTGGTTCATACATGAGCGGATTTGCGGGATGAATAAGTTCTGACCCCACAAAATAACAAAGAGATCTTATATTGCGCGTTACGCGTTTTATAAGGCCATTTGCAAAATTCTTTCCTTTGTATTTCAAAAGGATTTCGATAGGTAATAATATGTTTTATCGGCGAGATTCGAAACAGGTTGTGAAATATGATAACGACATTAGCTTCGTCCTCCATATCTAAGCGGGTATAATAAAAAATACTGTATTGCCAATATTTATTTATTTAAATAGATTCAAAAGTAGACGAATTTATTGCTTAATCTCTCTATGAAAGAATATTGATAGAACATGTTCGCTTGTACACTTAAAATCTTAATCACAATGGCGAAACTGAAGTTGAATAACAGACGCACCGGATGTTAGTCTACGGCCGGAGATCGCAGATGAAAACGATGGTAAACCACGACTTTGCTTCAGAATGGGCTTTTTGATTGTTTGTCTGGCGTGGAGCGGGGTGGTTGGGCGACTGCGGCTGTAGATTAATGCCACCGATCTAATATTCTGACAGGTGCGGCCGCGATCACCAGTTCGCCGCATACGCATTTTGCTCGACACTGCCACGTGCCGCAACCAATGGATATAACTTGCGCTAATTAATTTTAACATTATGCGTGAACAGCTGGTTGCAATTTACGTATATATTACTGTTAATTTGGGAAATAATGCAAGACTTCTGAATGACCAGAGTTTTATAGTTTTATATATTATTTTTATATTCTTATTTCTACTTGCAGTGTGACTTGTATTTAAATTAAATATTTTAAATTAGAAAACTTCGCGACAAAACTGGCATATTTTGATTTAAAAATCGACGATAGCTGATGGCCAAGAGAAAAATTGCCATTAAAACAGACGCATAAATGTATCTGCCTCGTATGCCATTTGATGGCAAGTCTTTACGTATATTAAAGAACCAGTGCAGTAATAATAATAAGACGTAGTATACTCGTTTGTATGGAAAATTAGGAACTACTAACAAATCATATATTTATACTTATATCTGATCATTAATTTTTTTATTTATTTATATAATCTGGCATCAATCGTCTTATCTTAAATCAACATAACGAACTTGTAGGCGCGCGTCAACCTAAAATTTTCTTCGCCAAAACTTCCAAAACACCATTAAGCCAATATGCTCGTTTTACAGATGTTTGACTGATATTAGCAGTGTTTAGTTTCAGCGAGGGGTTGCGAGTCGCGATTATGAATAGATCCGACCTACCTATACAATGATTCCGTTAGTAGTAAGTTAGATATTGATATAGTTTCGAATTGATGTCTCGAGAAGGAGGAGCCCAAAGAAAATACGTTAAAACAAATGATTCTATTTATTTATTTACCAAAGCTTGCCATCGCATACATAGTGAAAAATAAAATACAAGTAATGTGACAAGCATTTATAGGCATAACAAACACAATTAAAAAAAACTAATTCTATGCAAATTTATTATATACCTAAAAATTATACATGTTAGGACCAAAGTCAAAACACCACGTAACACTGATATCGAAATACGCCTCATACAGGTTTTTAATAATATCTATTCAGATAACAGCCACGCGTCAGATCTGTGGATATATTAAAAAGGAAAGGAATAAAGGCAAAGTCAGCTTAAATGCGCTCTGAAATGTCTACAAAGTAATGGTTTCAATTAGGGATTACGACGAAACTTTTAGCACAATATTAGGGGCTTGATCGCTTGCTTTATTCGACAATTTCCAGACTGTCTAAAATCGCATAGTTATATCAATATGATATCATTACGAGAAATTAATTACGCACTGATGCATACTGTTCTGTGGTAAACAATGAATGAGGCACACTTTGCACTCAAATCGATATTTTATAGTAATAGTATGATTGTACTTATTTCATACTATAGTAAAACGTTGCACCCAATAATTTTTGGACTCAGGCCCTACTAAAAACTTATTTTGGATTTATTTAAATGCAAATTAAAGTTGACAGGTTTATATTTGTAAAGTTATTTTGTACTATCTTTATTTAATGGAAATATACTATTCATATATTGATGCCTTTTCCCCAAAGGCGTAACCTGAGACCACGGATCTCCAATTGCGATACCATTCTCGCTTCATCCACTTTCATGACATTCACCATGCATGCTCATCGATTATAGAAACTTCTCCCTTCTCTAGTACCTCCTGGATTTGGTCCAGGTTTGCCCAAGAAAGCCTACTCAAGCATCAGGTGAAATCTTTCAGTACCTTGTCCTTGTATGGTACTAGGTCCTATTACAGTGAAGTAGGATATTTTAATTTGAGTTTTTTAGTAATCATTATTTAGGATTTTACCTATATTCCTTACATACAATAATGTCGCAAGAAGTTCAGTTCATAAAAATAACTTATATATATGCATATATGTATATATTTATAACTGTCGACTTGAAAGGCAGACAAATTCGAAGCGATTACAAATGTGGACAATGTGTTACGGAAAGTGAGTCGGCGAAAATGGGGGACACATTACAAGAAAAAGTCGTGAGATATGGACAAGAATCGGTACCGAATCGAGGCAGACACGAGATGGGAAAAGATGAAGATGTAGGCAGGTCAGGGGATGGAATGACCTGGAAGCCTCAGGATGCAGAATCATTATGGCCAGAATAAATAAGTGGAGAGAACTAGGAGAGGCCTACGTGTCTCAGCTCACACTAGACCAAAAATGTTCTATCCTACCAAATGTTCTGTGTGGTACTATAATTAATAATAATTGTATGGACACAGATAAAAACAATTAGTATATTTTTAGGAAATATTTTATGGATCAATGCACATTTTTCAAAGACATATTAAAGAGGTAAAATTAAAAGCACTTAGGATTGTAGCGTAGAGAGATTATACGTACGAACATAACTCGGTAAGCCTATTTTCAATTCAACTCGCGACCGGCACTTCAACATCTCACTTATTTACGAGATTTTAGCCCCTTAACGACTGCAGCTGGTAAACTCAGATTTGAGAAATATATATGTAATAAGTTTACTAAGAGATAGCCTCCTGGCATGGGATTCTCAACCCTGAAGTAGTTCAAATCCCGGCTAAGCACAGACATAATATGCAGATTTTTTTAAATACATCAGAGAGCTGAAAAACCTCGTGTTGTCGTGAGTTGAGCCAGTCACGAGGTTTTTCAGCTCTCTGAAAAGGTACGTCAGACACAAAGCGCCTTACTACTTTGACATATGACACCTACTTCTCTGAAAAAAATATTAATTAAGTAGACCCAGGCTGTCTTGTAAAATTAAAACCAATATGAATAAAAAAGTATGGATATTTAGCGTCTATAATCATTACGACCAAATCGTAATAAGTTGATGAATGCAAAACAAAAGTCTTGGCATTTTTTTAAATATGTAATCTCGCAGCTGGCTCTTCTCCGTAGAACTTACTTTTAACAGATAAAATAACGATTCACTTGTAATATGTAGAAAAATAAAATATTTTTATGTGCTGACTTTGACTTGAATGTATCATATTAATTCACTCTATCAAAATGTAAGCAATGAAAGAATATCGCGGTTATATTATGCTGGTTTTGCCCCGGCTAGCCGCACCAGCTGCGCTAAAATTGCTTACACTTGATAATGACGTTTTCAATTTGCAAGGATTTGCGCGCGGATTTCGGTAGCGTGATATAATTTAAAACTTAAATAATCTTCATTTTTTGCAATGTATTATCTTTTGTTGATTAGATTTAACAACGGCGGTTAAATTCGAGCTTTCGCGTTTTGGTTATGTTTCGATATTCTCCTAAGAAACGTGGTAACAATAATTACCTCGATTTGTATGAATAGCAAAATAGACGCAGAAATGTGTCTTTCTAATGTTAACAAGCGAATTGTGAAAATGCAAACGTATATGTACGCACGACTATGTATTAGTGTTGTATCACAAAATGTTAGGCAATCATTTATTTGTCCTGCTTGACATTAAATAAAAACAGTAATTTTCGTCCAACATTTAATATCGACCAATTTTCAAGTTTTGAGCATAAAACCTCTTTATGGAGGTATAAAATAAATACGAAATATTAACGTATACACACGGGATCCGCGGAACGCATTTTCTTCAAAAACACGCTGATACGGATAATCCTTGTGCGACATAACATAGATTGTATTACGGCAATAAGTCCGTGTTCGCGCTCGATAAACGGGCTCTTAATCCCAAAGAGATTTTTTTCACACGTCCCCCTCAGTTCGGCCTGCCGCCGGGAAAACTAATAAAGAAACCATCAGGCAGTCAGCTGAAGCTTGAAATGTATTTTTTATGCAATTTACCACGGTTTGATTGTGTCAAACCGAAGGCTAAAGAATATTGAGTTACAATTTACAGGAAACTAGATCCTCTATCATCAGCATTTCATAATAAAGTGTAACCGTGCGAACAGGCAATATCGTAGCAATCATTTAAATGAATTATAAACAATTATTCGGCGTAGGTCGTAGCCACAACTAATTACTACGTGCGTATGGCGTCGGATGCAGTTGTGGTTGAGTAGAGCAGCGGAGAGCTGGGCACCATTTTGTCGGTGTTTTTAGCAGCGGTCTGGCGCAGTGACTATACGGACATGGCTCTGATCCGCTGGTAACGTAGTGATGCTCCTATACGATGCGTATATTCTACGTTTTTTCTACCTTTACATATACATTTATTTAAAATGTATTTTAACATTAATTATAATAACACGTTAAAAAATTGTGCAGGTTACATTTAATGAAGTGAATAGTATATGTTGAAGTTAGGATCTCGTACTAATATTTTGAATTTCAAACATTTTGAATTTTAAACGTTTTGAAAATTTAATAATTAAAAACTAATTTATCGACACAAATCTAACGCGTCACGTGGTCCGGTCCCAAACTACGTGTTTTGCGCCGGTGACACGTGACGGCGTAATTAGTGCGTGACCGCCGCCCAGCGTCATGTCGACACATCGCGAGCTGTTTACAACTCAGCCTTATAAATTTAGATATTCTACTGGACGTAAAAGACGAAATTTACCACATTTAATCGGAAATTGTATCGTATATAAATAGTTGAAAAAAATAAGAATCATTAATATTGAATAAAAATAATTCGTGTAAAGCATACAGGCGTTAAAATTAATAAGCATATCGTAATTTTGTATATTTTGGAATTTCTTAATTATACCACAGATTTACGGCTTAAATAGCTGGAGCAGCATTAACAAGACATACCTCAAAAAATACTTCCGTTTATTTAATTACAAAAAAACATACCTACTGCAATACAAATCCCCATTTTTATATATCTGTAGATAAAAGCGAGTAAAGAGAAGTCATTTTATTTTAAACATCTTTCTATTGCAGAGGGTGCACCTACATCGCTTTGATTCTCACTTGAAATTGCATTACCTACAGTTGGCGTGAAACGAGCGCCTCCTTTTGCTTTTACCAGATAAAACTGTACACTTTTCATTTGATGATACTTGTGTCGAGGTAATTACAGAGACTCTTTCATGTGTTTATTTTTATTACTTTTGCTGTCATAACATTTTTACAAGTAGCTACTCAACGTTTTAAATTGATGTTTAAATACAAAAATGTCACTTTAGTGCTCTTCTGTGTATATACGTAGTAATGAATTATCCGCATAACGTCGAATTAAGAGACGTCTACAGGGGATAGAAACGTCATGATTAATTTGAAACAATTGTACGATTCAGATGATCTGATTCAATTATGTTACATTTAGAGTACGGCCATCGAGGCGAAAAGATGGGGAAAAACGGGAAAAATTTCTGCGTGAGATCGTGCCGATAAGTGGATGACTTCTCGCATGGGTTGCCCTCAAAGGGCGCTCAGCGAGGCGCAAAGTTGCCCTCTCGACACCCGACGACTAACCACCGGTCATCGGTCATGACATTCAATAAAGCTTTCCAAACAAAATTAGCCTAGACGCAGCGACGTAATTAAAACCTTTGCTATAATAATTTTATCAAGAGATATGCATCATCGCTAAATTAAATTGTCAATTTATTTCATGTTTGGTAATAAATTTAAATCCTACGGACTCATTGACTGACAAATTAAAGATTTACCTAAAGGCGACTACTTACTTTATTTAATAAGCATCAGTAAAAGGAATAATAAGTTCCCTTTGATCTTGAAAGAGATATCGACATTTTAAAACGTGCGTGCGTTTGAAACATCGTTTTCCCAAGAAAGCGTTTGTAATTTCCTATAAATTATACTTTGTAAAGAAGACTTAACCCCGCAGTAAAGCAAATCCGTCCTAAATTGCATGTCGTGTGTTCACACACGTTACCGTACACCCAATATGTCGTTTTGTCGATATTTTAAAAGAACGCGCCTTCCAAACCACATAAAAGAGATAGGAAAGTTAGGACTTAGTATCCATTTGCCGAAATTGGCCTCTTTGCGATAACAACAAGTTTTCGCACCCTCCTACCAAATGTGCAATTCATAAGTGTAGTACTAAACTTTGAATATGAGCTTTATTTCGTACAAACGAAGAATGGGATTTCTTAGTGCGGAGTAACTTCCAGGAAATGTTAATGTGATACGACATGTATACAATTAAAACCTATTCCTTACTCCTTTACTATTTAATTTTTTAATTTAGTAGTTATGAATCGAATTCGAAATATGATCACGCTATCTACATATGTATATATATTATACCAATTGTTTTTCGAAGTTAAAACTTCAAAGACCTTTAAACGAAACATCTATAGTCTAAAAGGAATGAACTTTTCATTAAATATTACCTTACGACTTTGTATACGATTACACGCGCCACTGGACAAAGAAAACTGATCGTTCAACTTTCATGAATTCCTCGTCGAATGGGTAACGTATAATGCCAATAAATATATTTGATCTTACATATAAAAACCTAATGAGTATGATACGGCAGTTCCTTTAAACGTATTATGTTGATTGTCATCCTTTAACTTTTAATTCCGTCACGGCTTTTGCTTCAAAATTCAATTTGCTTCAATTCAAAAATCCAGCGATAAAAGTTATGTAGCTTTTATCGCTGAATTTTTTGATATTGATATTTTACTATACCCAAAATTGAACTCAGGAATTTAATGCCCAGTGCGTTATCAACTAAGCCAAGACAAATGTAGTTATATCAAATTCCGTCACCCCTATCCCATTACAATATTATAGGTTGATCTATTGCAACGGGATTGTTACACAAATGAACTTCTTATTATTTTTGGTACAGTTTAATAAAAATCTACTATTTTCATTATTACTTTTATATAATATCGACCGACAGGTATCGCCGCCCATGGACATTACCACTGCCAAAAGGCTCGCCAGTGGGTTGCCAGCCTTATAGGAATTGGTACGCTCTTAAAGGACCCTAAGTCGAATTGGTTCGAAAATACTTCATTGGGTAGTAATACTTCAGTCTTTTTAACGTAAATTCATCGATCCACATGTCGGATCATAGGAAGGGCATTATAAGGTTATTTTTTGTCAGTTTTAGATCTATCATTTATTTTAACTTATTATAAGCTCTAGGTTAGTGCACCTATTATCAAGGCCACACAAAGGTTCTAATGTGCTATACGTTTCTTTTTTGTAGCCGTGTTGGTGCGGCTATAG